GTAGCCTCAGCTGGCCTGGAACTCACTATGTAGACCAGGCTGGCCTTGAACTCACAGAGATCCGCCAGCCTCTGCCTCCCAAGTGCTGTGATTAAAAGCGTGCACCACTATGCCCAGCTATTATTTTTATTTTATGTGTATGCGTGTATTGCCTGCATGTAGGTAAGCGTACCCGTGTTGTGCAATACCGGCGGAGGACAGAAGAGCCTGTCAGATCCCCTGGAACTGGAGTTATGGATAGTTGTTAGCTGCCATCTGGGTCCTGGGATTCGAACCCGTGTCTTCTGCAAGAACAGCCAGTGTTCTTAACTGCTGAGCCATCTCTCCAGCCCTCTTATACCAGCTTCTTTACTAGAAGGGAATTCAGCTTTCAGTATGGTAGCGTCCCCAACTAGTAATTATGTTGGGTGCTAGTTAATAATTCTATACCTCTGAATAACACACTTTCACCACTTAAGCCTCCAAGTCTTGAGTGCCAAGCTGTCTTTCCAAGCCAACATTGGTAGTGTGTAGCTACCAGGTTCATGCAAAGGCATTCCATGACTAAAGTATCTATTTTGAAAACTGGGGAATAGAACCTCCCAAAAGCCATTTAACCGAAAAGATCAGAGGAACTATCTAGAGCTTGCTTTTGAGCCTACTTCGGGCTTAGACTGTCATTATTTAGTTCTTCGATGTACCATGGCAGTCCAGAACAAGCCCTCCTGGCTATCTGGAGCATATTTCAGAGCATTTTACATACATACACACACACACACACACACACACACACACATACATATATCACTCTCGTTTCCTACTATTCTGTGCTCATTCTCCTCTTGCCAGCCCTCCTTTAATAATAGTTCACAGATTGCTTTAGTTTCTGGCTCATCTATTCCTTTTCATTGGTACAAATGAACAGATAATGTATATTTTTATATCCTCTTCTATCTTACACGGAAGAGTACCATCAAGTCATTCCCACTGTTCTTTTTTCACTTGACAATAAGTTCTGATGGGTATAGTAGCACACAACTGTGGTTCTGGAGGCTAAGACAGGATTGGATTGCATAATGAGACCCTGTCTCAAACACAACACACAAAACTCCTAAGTCCTGGAACTCTCTCCGGATCACTTTGTTGAGATATTCCTCTTTTTTTGTAGTGCATCATTTGTCTCTGCTTCTCTGTATTTCTCTCCGCTTCTCTCTTATGTATGCATATTTAGATTGTTTTCAGAATTTTGTCATGGCAAACAGTGCCGTAGTAAACAGTTTTATGCTTGAACATTTTCATACTTTTAGGCATATATATATAACTAGAAATAGTAATTATTTGTGCCAAAAAGGTAACTGCATATGTAGTTGTGTTGGCTATTGCCAAATTCCCCTTAAGAAGGGTTGTACTCGGGGTTGGAGCGATGGCTCAGCAGTTAAGCTCTTGCAGAAGATCCAGGTTTGGTTCCCAGCACCCACATGGCAACTAACAACCGTCTATAGCTACAGTTCCAGGGCATCTGACAACCCCTTCTGATTTCTGCAAGAATTACATGACACAGGTGCACTTATATACATGGAGATAATACACGTGTACACCTAAAAAAGAAGGGTTGCACTAATTTGCATTCCTACTAATTGCATATTAAAATGCCTATTGCTTCACAGCCTCACCAATAGAATATTTTGTCTTAACCTTAAAATTTTTCAGTCTTGTGCCTGGAAAGATGGCTTATCAGTTAGGAATACAAACTGTTGTCACAGAGGACTAGAATTCAATATCAGCAACCCCTTCAAGAAGCTCTGGTCTCTGTGGGCCCCTGCACTCATGTACACATGCACACAGATACACATACACACACACACACAAATTAATTAAAAATAAAATAAATCAACCAAGTGTGGTGGCACATGCCTTTAATTATTGCACTTGGGAGGTAGAAGCAGGTAAATCTTTGCATTCAAGACCAGCCTGATCTAAAATAGCAAGTTTCAGGCCAGCTAGGGCTACATAGTGAAACCCTGTCTCAAAAAAAAAAGAAAAGAAATTAAATTTTTTATTTGTTTTATTTATTTATTTTTTTTCAGTCTCAGGGGTTGGAGAGATGACTGAGTGGTTAAGAGCTCTTGCAGATGACCCAGGTTCAGTTCCCAGCACCCACATGACATCTAACAGCCATCCTAACTCCAGTTCCAGGGGATCCAAGCCTTCTTCCTAACTCCACAGACATTGCATGACACAAGTGCACTTACACATATGCAGGCAATACACTTATTCACATAAAATAAAAATAATAAATAACGGGCTGGAGAGATGGCTCAGTGGTTAAGAGCACTGACTGCCCTTGCAGAGGACCGGGCTTCATTCCCAGCACCTATGTGGGAGATTACAGGCATCCCTAACTCAGGTTCCACAGGAATCTGACATCATCTCTGACCTCTGTGGGATTGCATGACATGGGTGCAGTTGCATACATGTAGACAATACGCTCATATACATAGAAATAAAAATAATAAATAAAATGTTTGAAAAATAACAAAATATTAAAAATAATTTTTTTCACTCTCATAGATGAGAAATGGTATCTCAGTCTTTTAATTCAAGTTTCTCTAATTCCACATGGCAACTAACAACCGTCTATAGCTACAGTTCCAGGGCATCTGACAACCCCTTCTGATTTCTGCAAGAATTACATGACACAGGTGCACTTATATACATGGAGATAATACACGTGTACACCTAAAAAAGAAGGGTTGCACTAATTTGCATTCCTACTAATTGCATATTAAAATGCCTATTGCTTCACAGCCTCACCAATAGAATATTTTGTCTTAACCTTAAAATTTTTCAGTCTTGTGCCTGGAAAGATGGCTTATCAGTTAGGAATACAAACTGTTGTCACAGAGGACTAGAATTCAATATCAGCAACCCCTTCAAGAAGCTCTGGTCTCTGTGGGCCCCTGCACTCATGTACACATGCACACAGATACACATACACACACACACACAAATTAATTAAAAATAAAATAAATCAACCAAGTGTGGTGGCACATGCCTTTAATTATTGCACTTGGGAGGTAGAAGCAGGTAAATCTTTGCATTCAAGACCAGCCTGATCTAAAATAGCAAGTTTCAGGCCAGCTAGGGCTACATAGTGAAACCCTGTCTCAAAAAAAAAAGAAAAGAAATTAAATTTTTTATTTGTTTTATTTATTTATTTTTTTTCAGTCTCAGGGGTTGGAGAGATGACTGAGTGGTTAAGAGCTCTTGCAGATGACCCAGGTTCAGTTCCCAGCACCCACATGACATCTAACAGCCATCCTAACTCCAGTTCCAGGGGATCCAAGCCTTCTTCCTAACTCCACAGACATTGCATGACACAAGTGCACTTACACATATGCAGGCAATACACTTATTCACATAAAATAAAAATAATAAATAACGGGCTGGAGAGATGGCTCAGTGGTTAAGAGCACTGACTGCCCTTGCAGAGGACCGGGGCTTCATTCCCAGCACCTATGTGGGAGATTACAGGCATCCCTAACTCAGGTTCCACAGGAATCTGACATCATCTCTGACCTCTGTGGGATTGCATGACATGGGTGCAGTTGCATACATGTAGACAATACGCTCATATACATAGAAATAAAAATAATAAATAAAATGTTTGGAAAATAACAAAATATTAAAAATAATTTTTTTCACTCTCATAGATGAGAAATGGTATCTCAGTCTTTTAATTCAAGTTTCTCTAATTATGAATAGGTTTGAACATTCTTTTTATGTGTTTGGAGGACCATTTTTGGGGTCCTTTTTTATTTTTTTTTATTGAATTTTTGTGTATTTCATACAGCAAATCATCTTTTTGTTTGTTTATTTGTTTTTGGTCTTTTTTTTTTGGTGTTTTTGAGACAGGGTCTCCCTGTAGCCCCAGCTGGCCTGGAACTCGTAGACCAGGCTAGCCTCGAACTCACAGAGATCCACCTGCTTCTGCCTCCCAAGTGCCAGGATTAAAGTTGTGTACCACCACACCTGGCAGCAAGTCATCTTTATACCCCCTTCCCCTTTGGCACCCTCCTATACCCCGCCCCCTTTACTGGAGTTCATACCTTTTTCATTTGTGTTAAGGCCAAAATGTAAAGTTAGTGTTCCCAGATGTCCCTCAGTGCAAGTTCATCCACTGGGATCTAGTCATCCTATCTAGAGTCCCTCCCTTTACGAAGATCAGCTCTTCCTTACCCAGCAGTAATCAGCTGCCAGTAATTCAACTGAGACTGGGGCCTACTGTCCATTTCCACAGTTCTGTGCTAGGGTTTTGTCTGCTTAAATTTGCGTGGGTTCTGTGCATGTTGGCACCATTGCTGTAGGTTTGTATGAGAAGGGACCCAGTCACCTGTAGGACTGTTTCCATATGGCCATGTACCTCCTCCCTGGCTCTTAACAGTCTTTCTGCC